CGTGTTTCCCGTCAATCAATTTCATTCCTTTGGTCCCCATCCCCCTTTCCATCCCTCTCGCGTGTCTCTCTTTTCCCTCCTCCCTTCTTCCACCTGTTCGTCACCGACAAGCGTCCTTGCTTCGCCGCCCGCCTCCGACAAGAATTCCTCCAAGGCGACTCTCGACCTGTCCGCTTGATTCGATTCTTGAGTGTGCCGCTTCACGAGCACTCTCGACACTGCTGGATCCCGGCCGAGACGCAGCACCTACCAACGACCTCGGGAGGTCTCCACGAGCCAATGCAAATGCCAGTTTGATCGCTCACAAATCCGTCGTCGCGCCCTGCAGTTCTCAACCCCAACCCGGTGGACGTTTGAACCAAATCATCGACACATGCTTTCAACAATCTGACGATTTTCTTCGTCGAGTCACTCATTTTCTGGATATACGATCATTGTGCCCTCAACATAAAATGTGAGTTGGCGACCGCCGCCCTCCCGCCACCCTCGGCCCGGCAGACAGCAACATCCCCCGCGATGGAGGCGCCGAGGGATGGAATGCTGCAGGGCGAGAAATGGTGTTGGGGCCTGACCCGGCATGGACCCTTGGCCCCTCTGCAATGCTCGTCCCACGTCTTCCCCTCCCAGCAGTCCGTCCTTCGCGGATCCTACATGCTTGCTCCGTCGCAGACAACGTGGGTTTCGTCTCGGTTGGCTAACATGCTTGTCAGACTACACTCGTTGACTCTATGTCAAGTACATTCGTTCCTACAACATTCTGACAAGTGAGTCGTGTCAACGGCGGTCGCGTACATCACGGGCTTTACGCGTCAACGGGCGAGCTCACAGACTGACCGACATTGCCAGACCACAACTACTACGTGCAAACACCACTCTCGTTAAGACCTTCACAGTATACACTATCCCATAATCGACGGCTGGCAGCACAAACAAGAAACCATGCAGGTCAAGTCCGTCCTTCTGGGCGCCGCCCTGGCCCTGGCTACGACGACGACGGCTGAGAACGACAAGCCGAGGATCTACTTCCCCCGTCATGTCAAGAGACAGTTCACCAACTCGACCCTTTCGCAACCCGGGACCTTTCCCGCGCCAGAGAGCACGCCCTTCACGTCGCGACCCGATACGCCGACCTTCATCACGAGCCTCAGACAGTCTCTCACGAACGACTTGATCGAACCGGCCGAATCCTCTTCTTCCTTGTCCGAGTCCCTGTCTGAGCCCAGCGGCACCACTCAGCGCACCACTGTCGTCATTTCGAGCACCATCAGGGTCCCGCCCACAACTGTCCCCGAGGTGCTTGACCCGGTTCAGTCGTCCTCTGAGGAGCCATCTGCCAATGACTCGACTGCTCCGCAGCCTTCGCCCTCGTCGTCCGATCCCGAGACCTCGACTTCTCAGGCGACCACAGAGCCCGATACAACCACGGCCCCTGGCACCACCACCACCGAGGCCGCGACGACTACTACCGCCGCCGAGACGACAACCCAAGAGACGTCAGTCGAGGCACCCACCACTACTGCCACCCCCACTGCGTCGTCTGAACCTGAACCCACGACCGAAGCCGCAACGACAGCAGTGACGTCGCTTGAGCAGAGCACCGTCGTAGAGTCTGTTTCCTCCGCAGAGGAGTCCGGCACCGGTATCCTGCCGTCCACCATTGTGCTCCCCACGAGCAGCAGCACCACGGCCGAGGCCGAGCCCACAACCTCTGCCGCCACGACATCTGAAACTGTCACAACATCTTCGGGGATCGTGATCGCGCCTACGGGCCTTGTCACTACCAGCTCAAATGAACCCACGACCTCCACCGACGAGCAGGTGATCCCCACTGTAACGGACCCTGTTGCGAGTCCAACCGACTCGACCGCTCAAACAACGCCCGCTACCACGACCCCCTTGGAGTCGGTCATCTCCGCTGTGACTAGCATCCTTTCTGTGCCAACGAATGCGACTGAGTCTGAGATCGAGCCCACTCAAACTGCGACTACTGAACTGTCGGGTTCCACTGTCGCTGAGCAGACCACAGACGCGGTGTCTGCCACGACTACGGCCAGTGTTCCCATCACCACGGATGTCAGTGAGCCTCCTGTTAGTGCCAACACGACCGTCCCGGACCAGTCAACGCAGCCCCCCGTGTCGTTGACGTCGCTGCCGCCTGTCGATTCATCCACCGTCCCCTCTACCTCGATCTCCCCTGGGTCATCGGTAATTCCATCGGTGTCACCCAGCGCTTCCGGTGAACCCTCGGTGGCTCCCAACACGACAGAGAGCGTTCCGACTGCTAGCGCTTCCATCCCCATCACTGAGCCAAGCAGCTCTGTCAACGTGACATCCATTCTCGAGTCTAGCATTGAACCCACTGCCGCGCCTTCCTCCGTGCCGACTAATTTGCCGACCTCGAGCGTTCTGCCGGACAACACGACCGTTATTTCTGACGAGCCGTCAGCTGTGCCCACCGTCCCCAGCGTTTCAGCCTCGGATGAGCCCTCTACGATCGTTCCCGTGACCAGCCTGGCACCCACCAACACGATCACCGGTACCGAGATTTGGCTGCCGTCCACTATCATTGTGGAGAATTCGACGCCGACTCGCGCACCGACGGATGCTGTCGCACCCACAAGCTCTGTTGCCCTGCCCTCGGACTTGCCCAAGGTTATCGGCCCTGGCGATACGGAGAATGTTGTCCAGCCTGAAGGGACTGTTCTCCTTCAGATTGGCTTCCTTTACGCCGAGAACTACGAGTTCGTTAGCAAGAACCCGATGGCGGCTGCTCAGTTGTTCACGCTGTTGCCCACCGCCCTTGCGGATGGCGCCAAGATCGACGCCGGCAAGGTCATCGTCACGAGTCTGGTGCCCTATGACACCATGCCGTCGCTTGGCTACATCACGACTCTCGCCCGGTTCTGGTACCCCGAGTCCATGGTCGACCAGCTGCGCATGGACATCAAGATTCCAAACTCGCTTCTTTACAACAACCCCCAGCAGCTCATCTACAATCTCACCCAGAACATCAACCCTGCCATTGACATCATTCCTGGTTCCGAAAACATCCCCGGCGGCAATGGAGGTGCGCCGACTTCTGGTTCCCCCAACGGAAACAACGACATGTTCGACAACAACGAGTCGGACTCGACACCCATTCAGACCGGAACTGCCGCAGCCATCGGTATTGGTGCCGTGACGGTTGGTGTAGCTTACGGCGCGGCCATGTTCCTGATCGCTCGTCGTTACAAGCGCAAGAAGCAGGCGCACCGCCGTGCCAGCTCTATCTCCGGCACTTCCTCTGACATGCGCTACACTGGTACTGGCAGCCCCCGCGATGATGGTGGCGCGCTGATGAGCCGCGACTTTTTCCAACTATGGCGGTGTCGCTGGCGGTCGTGACAGCCACGGCAGCGGGCGGACGGGCAACTCGGGGCGAACGGCCAAGATTTCGGCACCTGTCGCTGCTGAGAACTCCCTTGGCTGGAATTGATTGACGAACTAGACGCCGCACACACGCGCACACACACACACACAACACATTTATCTTCATTTTATCTGTCATACTGCGAAGTTTCTTGCTTTTCGATACCCTTCGGAAAGAATCAGTGATCGGAAATATTTGCATTGCATAGACTTTCGATAACATGGTTCTGACCCCGATGACACTTGGAGGAGAGGAAAGGGGCCATCCTTCATTCAGAGGAAGAGGAATTTTGCTTGAGGTGCTCGAAGGAACTGGACTGGCCCGCACCGAGCTCGCTTGTTCCATTTTCTTCTTTCTCGTCGCTGCTGCAGACGGCCCTCTCTCGCACAAGGGCTTGATGGTCTTGACTTCCGCATCGCCCTTGCCCAACGTTTGATTTTCTTCCGCGTCAGACCTCGGCCTGCGACCGTCAAAAGACCCGGCGCCCACCTTTTCTTTGCTGGCGCTGGTCTGGTGCCCAGCGCCTTTTTTATTTCACTTAATTATTTCCTACCAGGTGCGGAGGAGGGGAGATATGTGGATCAGTGGGACTTGTTGCAGGTTCACTGGGGAAGAGTATCCTGAGCGTGGGAGAAGAATTTTTCGGTCTATGCGGACAGAAAATGAGGGACGCGACGCCCTCGGCGGCTCACGGCCGGGTAGTTTGGTGTACATTACGAAGGAGAGACAGGCATTGGGATTGGGGGGTCAGACGCCGCCGATGCCTGGACTACCTGATCGCGTGCCGACCGCTGTGGTTAACTGGAGACGCATCACTGATTGGCAGCCTGCGTCGGAATAGAGGGTTATCCGTCTCGAGCCGTGGTGCTATGCATATACTTCAAATGAGAGAGCCTTTGGACCGAAGTCCTCGTTATCCTCTTCTGATGTGACACTTACCCCGGGGCGCGAGCGCTTGGCGTCAGGGGCCGAATCCAATTTCCGACGATAAGCTAAAATAGCGTCGTCTAGTCTGTTTTTGGCAGGGCTGATGAATTCTCACCGGCTAGTTGACCTCGTGTTCTGCTTGCTCGTGTCATGGCCTTTGGTCCTGTTCTTGTGGAGTGGTGTGTGACACCCAGGTGACTTCCAGTCATGTGACATTCCACATGGACTGTACTACCCGATAGCGCAATCAGCCCTCGTGCATCTCGAAGCCGATTGCTCCTCGTGAACCGAACATCTCTTGTAATATTCCGGCTCACACCAGTACGTGGCACGTCCACCCAACATGGCGACGGCTGCTTTAGAATCGGACATGTCCTCCTATCGACGAGAAAAACTCACATGCATACCGATGCATTTGCTGACTTGTCCGGCTGTGAGCTTGGCGTCGATGCGTTACGCCTGAGATGGTGACGCGTCTGTCGACGCGATGGGTCAAGGGGGGTTCAAGATGGCATGGAAGGTACAACACAAGATGCAGCTCATACATTGTGATGCAGGATCGTGCCAGCAGACCTTTTTACCCCAGACCTTTACGTTCATTGTTTGACACGATACCTCCTTTGCATGCCAAATCCTGCAAATCCCCCGCATGCTAGGCTTCATATCCAACTTCCCAAAGCACACTGCTCGATGCCAGAGCGGCCGAATGCATATAAAAAAGGGAATTCCGGTTGACGGATATAAATGATGAGGGGAAAGGCAAGATTGTCGAGATCCTCTCCCCCGAGGCGTCACTTTGCGCCAGGGCACAGGTATTCTTGTGCGGACGAATCACCCGTATGCACTTGAAGGCTCCTGGACGGCAAATAATGACTGGAAATATGAGATGGAATGCTAAAGGTTTACTGCAACCAGAGTACAGCTGGGACAATAGGAGCCAGTCGCTGCCGCCGTTCAGCTTACGGATGGCGCTTCACCGGCCGGCCAGCAGCTCTAGATGCGCCGGTATTTGTATCAAGGCATCATTCGGCCTGCTCTTTCGCGAAAGGTTTTAATGAATGCAGCCGGCTGTTCACCTTGCTACATGATTGCCAAGATCGGACATCCCCAGATGGGGTCCGTCTGCTCTCCAGACGACGACTCCGGACATCTAGCCTTCCATAGCACACACGGTTCCTCGAACGTGTGAACATAGGTTTCACGCATATGACGCAAGGGTGGTTACAACTCCGTCCTCGATTGTCGCCCATTGCATAACCTATGACTTTCGTAAGCTCTGCGATGAAATCATGCATGAATGGCCTGCTTACCGACACAGTCATCTGCAGATCCCCTTCCTTCCGGACTCATGAATTCGTGGGTGCCGGTCGCCGATGCAATCTGAACCTGTCTGACCCCTACCCAGCGCTGTATAACCTTATTGGTAGCGATGTTGTCGTTCCTGTTTCTGTCAGTCCATACTAGCCCATCCCAATGTGCTCACCGCATGGCCGGCCTTTGCTGATAGAATGAGACCCTTTCCTCCGAGCTGGAGACCATCGAATAGCAGAGCTTTCCCAACGTCCACAGCCGCGTCCGTGTTTCCGACTGCGACTCCCTCGACGTCGACCTTCACAACGCTGTTGATGATCCCGAGGAGATCGAGCTTCGCGCCAACTCCATTGGTACCACGAGGCGTGGTATCGGCCCAGCCTGCAGCCCCCGCGTTTCGAGACGACGATCACCACGAGGCTTTGCTGTGTCTGTTCTCACCATCAGCAGAGAAAAAGCGTCACCATGTGCGAGGTTTTCAACAGGGAGCTCTTTGAGCGCAAGCTGCGAACCCTGGCGGCGTCAGCACCGGAAGGTATGGCAACCCCAGCCTGTGCATCTCGATCCCAGCTTACTGTCAACAGGAGGTAAATTGATCGCGTACGTTACGTATGTTACGTCTTGCGGCTGAGGTTAAGTAAAGCAAGGTCCCTGACTAGAACACGCCTACGACTAGAGCCAAGGCCTTCTTCGACCTGCAGAGAGGTACGCAACTTCATTCTGTTTATTGAGAAGTTCCTCTCCTTCAACGGCAAGGGACACGTGGAATTATGGCAGTACCAGCTTTTATTTTGTCTATGTTGTGTACCTGCCATGCTTGACAATCTCACAGTGGACCCCACAAACTGGGCCTGAACTAGTAGTCGCAACGGAAGCCCTTTGAGTCCATGCTCTCAAACAACGCCGCAGAAGATAATTGTGAATAACACATTGATGAGGAATCCATCATGACCAGACGCCCTGCCTCGAGTGGCATCTATCCGCCGCCCGAAAGAGAGCCCTTCGCTGCGCATGCTGGCTTCATCAACGTGGTCTCATGAGACAAAGGAAATATTCGAACAGGCGAGTGGGGAATATTAGACGACAATCAAGGAAAACTTTTACGGGAAGCCAGGAAAATGAAACAACGAAATAGGAGTAAGGAAACATACATCTGATCGACCTAGAATGAGGCAGTGAGTGGTTAGTATTGAGTATTAGGGCAGTTAAGATTACGACTCCCTGACACCAACATCAAAGCGGACGGAACGAGGAA